TATATTTAGGTTTCTTTACTTTTATTTCAATTTCTGTATGTATCCCTTTCCTCTTCTCCATACTCAACTTTACCTTCTTCCTTGTTTGAGTCTAATCTATTCATGTACATACATATATACATCTTATTCCTAAACTGCTACTTAGCACTCCTGCAAAAAATTGTGCGACTAATCTCTAAAGAGAGTATTCCGAGATTACTCTCAATCGGGTACAATTGGGCATTAATGAGTCCCAACTAGTCTCATACGGGTACTAGTGGAGGCCAATTAGCCTCGACTCATCCCTTATGGGTATAACTGGAGATAAATTAGTGCCCAACTCATCTCTAATGGGTACTATTAACGATGTAATGATATGTACGCACCAGAGAGCTGCAACCGATACCTAGATTTTGTGTATACTCGATCATTTACTCGGGCTTTGTATGATCGTTCGTTTATGTTCAATAACAAGTAATGCGCCGTTAGCTCATTGCGCACGACGATTGCGGCAACACATTGTGCTCGCTTCAACCACCAAAGTGGCGTTAGCGTGAACGAGTATAGAAATGTTATATGTACACACACATACTCGCCGTCACCACAGCCAAGGCATGAAACGTTTTGTGGCGCGAGCCACTCGAATTGTCCTTGCATGCATCAGTTGATCGTCGTCGTTGTCGTGTTATTCTTTGCATGCATTAGTTGAACAGCGATCATTGGGTGCATTTGCTAATTTTTCAAGTTGTGTTATTCTTTGAGTGCAATAATTGATCAGCGGCCATTAAGTACGTGATTTATAATTGTAGTTATCGTGAGATGGCAGATACAATAGAATTCGTTTCTGAACAAATTGCAAGTGGTAATTACCATTTGTCCGGCCGTCGAAAGGGCAAAAGCTTTGTTTGGAATGTGGTTGCTGAAATCCTAAAGCCGGATGATACTGTAGTGACAGGTTTTGTTTACTGCCGCACTTGCTGTAAAGTGCTGAAGTATACCAGTAGCCAAACGTCTAATTTGAATCGCCACAAGTGCTGCAAAAACATGAAGGAATCGCAAGTTTTGAAACCTGTCACAGCATTGGACAAAAATGAGGCCATTGAGAAATGCACGTTTTGGGTCATTGAAGATAGCCAGCCCTTTTCGGCAGTAAATGGTACCGGCTTTGCCAAATTGGCGAAGTTTTTAATTAAGATCGGCGCAACCTATGGCGAACATGTTGACGTGGAGAACTTACTGCCAGATGCAACAACGATTTCTCGTAACGCGAAAAAGTATGCAAAGGAAAAAAAACAAGAACTGGGTGAAGAAATAAGGGACGTTGTAAGCAGCGGTGGGGCCTCAGCTACAATTGATATGTGGACGGACAATTACGTGAAACGAAATTTTTTAGGCGTCACATTTCACTATGCAAAAGATTTCAAATTATTTGACATTGTGCTGGGAATGAAATCAGTGGATTTTGAAAAGTCAACCGGGGACAATATAGCTAGAAAGCTTAACACTCTATTTAATGAATTTGGCATTGAAGGCATTAATTTAATTAAATTTGTAACAGACAGGGGTAAAAATATTGTTAAGGCTTTAGAACATAATGTACGTCTTAACTGCAGCAGCCATTTACTTTCCAACGTATTAGATAAATCGTTCGCTGAAACAGCTGAGTTGACACACATCTTAGATTCTTGCAAAAAAATTGTGAAATATTTTAAAAAAGCTAACATGCAGCATCTTTTACCTACTTCTTTAAAAAGCCAATGCCCTACTCGATGGAATTCGCACTATATAATGCTCAAATCTATATGCGATAATTGGCTAGAAATGAACAGAGTTCTCGATGGAAATGAACAAAGCCAAAGATTATTACATATAAATATATCGATAATTAAAGTACTCGTTGAACTATGTAAGGATTTTGAAATCGTGTTTAAGAAATTACAACTTTCTAGTTCTCCCTCACTGTGCTTTGTTTTACCATCTGTGTTGAAAATTAAAAGTCTTTGTGAACCGAGCAGTGAGGATGTAGCTCCAATTTCAGTTTTGAAAGAAAGGGTTAAACAAAATATTGATGAAATATGGGTAGCCAATTTAAGTTTGTGGCATAAAGCTGCATGCTTCTTATATCCACCAGCTATAAATATGCAACAAAATGACTTAAGTGTTATAAAGGACTTTTGCATTTCTCGCATTAACGAAAGAACTGTTATTTCTCAACCCAATTCTGCACAATTTAGTGATAATGAACTTTCAAGCTTGACCACTCCTTCACCTCCCTTGGCATTACAACCTTTAGGTAATCAAAATAACTCGGATGAAAGTATTTTAAGTTGCACAGGTTCCTTTCCTGACAACTCTTTGCCTCCTAACAACGATGCCCAGTTCTTTTTTTCTCACTTGTTCAGGCGACCTGTTTCACAAACAATAGAAATACCTGAAGATGAAGTGGAAAGATATAGTAAGGAAACAATTGAAATGACTGAAAACTTCAACGTAATTGAGTGGTGGAAAGAAAATGGAAAAAAGTTCCCTCATTTGTCGAAACTAGCGTTGCAAATCCATTCAATGCCAGCTAGCAGTGCAGCTGCTGAGAGAACTTTTTCTCTGGCTGGCAATATCATATCAGAGAAAAGGAACCGGCTAGCGCCAGGCTCGGTTGATAGCTTGCTATTTTTAAATTCCTATTTTAAAAACTTTAATTCTTAGAAATCTAAACTTTATGTAAAGTCACTTGCAAAAATAATTTGGCATTTATTTTTTACCATATTCGCATTGATTTTTATGCTAAACATTTTTATGTTAGCTTGTTATGAATATAGAGCTCATTCCACAAAAAACCTAGTAAATCAAAATTTGAAGCTTTGGACAAAATTAAGGAAAATTCAGCAAATTTTTATAAAATTTTTAAACTATTTAATCATAGTTTCTAAAATAAATTCCAGTGCGCAGTTTTACGGCTCACTAATTTTAGTATGTATAATAAAAACAAAGTTTGAAGTTGCTAAAAAATTCCTTTGATTGTTGATAATTTTTTCGCTGACGGTGTTGCGCATTTTCTTATATACAAAAAATTCGTTATATGGAAAAAGTGCGTTGAGCGAAAAATATCAAATACCAACGGGAATTTTTAGCAACTTCAAACTTGCTTTTTATCACAACAAATTTGAATGGGCCGTAAAACTGCGTACTGGAATTAATTTAGGTATTATGATTAAAAAATTTTACATTTTCAGGAAAAATTAGCCGAATTTTCCCTAATTTTTTTTTCAAAGTTTAAAATTTTTTATTTGCATGGATTTTGTTGCAGATTGACTTCTAAATGTGTGTAAAAAAACTTAACGAAAAAAATATTGCATGAACAACATTTTGAATATCGTAAAAAATCAATGCCAAAATGCCTTTGCTGTAAATATTTAATCTCATTAAATGTGTTCTTTGTTTTATAATTTGAATGCGTATGTATTTATTTTAAGAATTTTAGAAAGGTGAAATTTGGAACTTTAGTTTTAAGTTTGTACCCCTAGATCATAAGATTTTTTGAAACTATATTAAGTTTAATGAAATGTTTTTCCATAGCTTTTGATTTTAACTCGTTGAATTTAAGGTCTTTTTTTATATTTAGCATAAATGTTGGATCTCATGAAATATTTTTGTTCAATATACATATATTAAATATGAATTAAAACTACATACTATGTATGTTACGTCTTTCAACTTATTTGTTTTGTTTTTGAATCACAGCGCGCGATAGAGCGCGAGTGACGAAAGCAGCAGCTTTCCAACGATAGGAAAAAATGTCGCTATGGTTAAAAATGAACATATATTCGTCTAATTCGGTTACTTTAACTTTTTTTTTCATAAACAACACACTAAACTCCGCGAAAAAAACTGTCCATTCCCGCTAAACCGAAATTCCCCGCAAATTGGGTAATTCCCGCGAGTTGGTTTCCCCGTACGCGATACATAGTTTGTGCAAGACGATTGCCACAACACACATACATATGCTCGCTTCTTCCACTAAAGTGGCGTTAGCATGAACGAGTATAGAAATGTTATATGTATCACACATACTCGCCGTCACCACAGCCAAGGCTCGAAATGTTTTGTGGCGCGAGCCACTCGAGTTGTCCTTGCATGCATCAGTTGAACAGCTGCTAGTTGTCGTGTTATTCTTTGCATGCAGTAACGAGCCTCCGCCACGACGCATACACAAAAATACAAATCAGCAATCATGCCAACTACACAAACACGAAAATAGAATGTTGCGTCTCGTACATGCCCGCATAGCTGGCGACGATCGTGTTTACATGTACCAAATTTAGGGGATGATGATCGAGACGGCGCGATCATACTCGATGCCGGTCTCTGGTACGCACTTAGTCAATGAAAATACCTTTCTAATGATATTGAATTGTTTATACCTTAGAGGTATAGTTTAGCCGCAAAAGGGGTGTAAAGGAAACATGATTGCCTATTTATTTATAATGATAATATTGTTATTTTAGAATAAAGGTTACCCATTTTCATACACATTTTTTCGTGCAAATTACTGAAATATATTTATATTTATAATTGAAGAAATGTATTATTTTTGCATACTACATTTTTTTCCCCACAGTATATAATACGCCGACCGGAAGAATAGTACAATACTATATATTAGGTACGGTTGGGAACCCTATCTCTAATGTAAAGGCATTGTAACCTTGCACAAGAAGTTCAGTTATAAATAGCGCGCTATCGACCGACGATAAAGCGAGGAAAGTTTTAAAAGGTTTATTTGGCTTTTTATTCACTTTTTTCTTATGAATTCAAGTTCCTTCAAAACTGCAATCTATTCGCTCTTTCGAACATCTATGTATTTGAACCAAAATTTTAGTTAGCAACTTAAAACAGTTATCAACTTAAGCGGCAATGAATGACTTAAGAAGCATCTTAAAATGTGTACCGTAGCTAATAACTTTAGATATAGATCTTAATTTAAAAATCGTTACTGGTTTTGTTTTATCAAATAATTATATTACCTGCAGTTCAGGAAAGCTTTGACGTACGATTAGAGCCCATAAGTTGTATAGAACGGACACCGTAAGTACCATTAGCCAATAGAAATAAAAATTTTCATCAGGATTAACAACAGACCGTCGTTTTTGAAGAAATTTCCGCCGACGCTTAGAATTTTTATCTGGTTCTCCAGACGCACTCTCTGACCCAGTATCCTCAACGGTTTCCTTAAACAAAAGAAACCAATCAATAATTTAAGGTTGTCATGACTGCAATTCATATGTATGTACACTTATTACTTGTTTTTCATTTTACTTGCTAGCATAATGTTCAATGTTGAACCTCATGTAAAATGCAACTCTAGAGTGTAAGAGAATTCTTAACTGCCTCACTGTCGATGAGCATGGTCACCATTTCTTATGAATTTTCGAGCTAACTACTGTCAATGATCAGATTCCGTCTAAGCATCGTTTGGGTTGGTTCGCCCAATATTGCTTTGTACACCTAACGCGCTTTTATTTATATATGTACATACTAGCAGACCCGGCGAACTTCGTCCCGCCCAAAATTAGATTTTTAATTTAACCATTTTGGTCCAACATTTTCTCCAAAAGTCCACGTTTACGATTTCCATTGGCACATTCATCGGCTAAGATTATGGTTTGGTGGTCGTTTTCCGCCTTAAATAACCTAAGAAGAAGTTCCTTGGCGGCAACAATGATCCGGATCTATAGTTAATCTGCCCTAGAGACTTTATCTTATAGTTGGTGGCAATTTCAAAATGGATGCGTATCCTTGTTTAACAGAAATACAATATACATACATAGACTGAGATGAAATACCTTAAAAGCCAGTTTCATGAAAGCATATATGTAATATTCCTATATTGGCAGTAGGAGCTAGTACCGTCTGAAAACACTACAGTACAGATATATCAGTAAACACGTACGAAAGAAAAGGAACACACACGTTTATAAATAAACATGTACACAACACATATACAAAAACGGCACTCAAGTACAAAATACATTGACAAAAACGGTACTAGACTGTCTCGCTTTGATTTCGGAATGCTTACACAATGAGAAGTTAGCTTACTGCCGATATAGAAGTATTAAATATATGCATGAAAGCAATTTAAGTGAAAATAATTTTTTTCTGTCAGGTTCTATATTAAATTCAATTAAAAAAATTAATTTTCATTAAATTGCTTTTATGAAACTGGCTTTTAAGGTATTTCGACAGGTGGTGATTTGAGATTTATCACTGCACAACTCAACCCTGGTGTGTCCGAATGAAACTTTAACGCATAATAATATTGGCAAATCACATCCATTGGGCCAATCGTAACACACGAGAGTTCGATATACTCAATGGTGCAACAGGTCGATTTACTTTGACATTCACGGCACCTTTTCTCACTTGTCGATTTTTGGTAATAACTTGACCTCAGCATAACCTTACAGCCCCTTTTGTAATTGGACTGCCTTTGCCGTTTCCAATACATGTTTTGAATATTCGCCAAATCGAATCATAAATAAAATAATGTAAAAAAAATATTTTTTAGAAACAAGTAATTTTTAGCAAAAAAAAACCCGACTTCAACTCCCATATAAAAAATATATATATATCTCAAGATCCACTGATCGGATCTCAACCAGATTAGTATGGGAACACCTCTGAGACACTACCTTTCCGATGCAAAAATAATTATCGACATCGGTTCACGTGGTCCAAAGTTATGCGGTAACATACATAAAAAAAAAAAAAATAAAAATAATATTCCGACGAACTGATAACCTCCTCCCTTTTTGGAAGTCAGTTAATAAGCTTTTATTTAACATGTACAATCCAAGGAACAAAATAAAGTAGTGTAACAAAAGCTTTTTTAGCAAGAAAATTTTGTCAAAACTGCTCTAAAATGAATAAAATAAAATAAGTTAAGGTCTCGTTAAAGTTACTAAAAGCCATTTAGTGAAAGGAGTTATTCAAACTCTAATGAAAATTACTAACAATTTGTACTAATTTACTTCGTTTTTAAAAAAGCTTGTCGGCGAATTCAGCGTACATGCATAATTGGTTAGGTATGTATGTATATGTATGTATGCAGATATTTAAATGTCGGTTTGCTATTCGCTACTTTACAATACACTACTTTATTTTATTCCTTTGATTGTACAGTTAAATAAAAGCTTGTTTTTAAAAAATATTTTTTT